TGGGCGGCCCGGCGGAGCCCCGCGGCCGCCGTGGACGCCTTCCGGTTGGGCCTGGCGGAGCAGGAACCCCGGGAGCTGGGAGGAGGCGTTTGTGTGCGCTCCCGGGGCAGGACTCCGCTCCCGAGCGCCTGGGCCTCCTTGTCCAACCCGCACCTAAATGGCGCCACGCTCCAAGGGCTGGGGGGCCGGGGCGGGAGCGTGGTGAGGGTCGGCGCTCACTCCCCCCGGGAGGGGCCGCGGGCAGCCGGGCTCGGGGCTGGTGCCCCCAGGGAGGAGAGCTGCGCTCTGGCAACTGGGGGCTGCGACACAGCGGAAGATGGATGCATCACGATTACCCGTCATACACTAACCAGGAAATATCCGCCACTTCTTGGTCCTCACCGGCCTTTATTTTCTCTCCTGCCCAAACCGGATCAAACCCCTGGCGTGGGGACAGCATTGATAAACTTGGGGTGAAGAGCAGGTTACACGTGTACATGCATGCACTCAGTCTACACGCACTCAGTTCTGGGCCTTTCTTGTAACTTTCTGCTCACCCTTTCTAGCCCTTAGATGAGGCTCCCATCCCAGTGGTCTCCGTGCATCTTCTGGCTGTAAGGGATCTTGAGGTTCCCAGTATTTCTGTAGACCGAGAACAGTCCCTTTTGCGTTTGGCTTAAAATTGATTGGCTGTTTATTTAATTGGCATTTTCACATCAAAGCGTGGATGTTAACGACTCTTCAGTGTTTTTCATTTAGGGCTGTAACTCGATGGTTTTCGGAGTGGTAGATGTGAGCCAGGCAGGGAAGTCTTGTAAATTGAGATGTTGCTTAGCGAGTAATTTTTTTTTTTTTAATATCGTAACTCATTAATGACGTGATTTTTCGTGAGAGGTTGTGTACGTACTAGATCTGAAAGATTTGGGGGAGTCTTCTGTAATTCCTGATAGGTGAGGAATTGAAGCGATCGTCCTTATTTATTCAGTGGACCCTACTTTAGATTTTATTTGTAATTAACCAGACTTCTTTTCTCTAATTCTGGGTTGGCTGGGCTTTTATTTTAGCTAATGGAGCTCTAAGCTTTTGGCTATTTTACCTTCAGTCACAGCCAGAAACTTCTTCCGTGTGTGTGTGTGTGTGTATATAGATAGATAGATAGATAGATAGATAGATAGATATTTGGAGACACGAATCTGAAATCAGTGACATGTTTTTGTGCTGTATTTGTGACTTCACTTTAAGATAATTTTGTTCACAGTTTAAACAGTTAAATTAAAAAAACTCTTTCCTGTTGTTTTCTCTGACAGGTAAAATCTAAAAGTGTAAGAACTGTTCATTTGCAGTGCGCATCCTTTTAGTCAGTTGTATTGTCACTAATATTTTTCCAGTTTTTTGAATACTTAGGGAAAGTAACAAATAAAACTCATAGCTCTCTCTTACCATACAGGCATACAAATTTAAGATTAATATTCTTCTTTTTGCTCTTGTGTTTTATATAAACTGCTATAAGTAGGGAAAACTATTAATATTTCACAAATTGGAGGTATATAAAAAGGCCTGAGTTTAATTTATAGATTAACAATGTAAATACAGATTTCACTGAAATTTTATTGCTGGGAACATTTCAATTTTTTATACCAGTAATAGAATATAAAATATATGAGAAACGCTTTTTGAGAGGATGTAGTAGTGTGTGTGGGGTAATTGCTGGGCAGAAAGATTTAGAATCCATTTCATTTTATTCATGTCTACATTGAACTGGTCTCAACTTGGTTACCTGTTATTAATATACATTATTTAAAAAGCAAAACGTTATAGGAAGAATAACATTAAGCCGTAAGTATAAAATTTAAATAAGTGTCATTTTTTTTTTTTTGGCTATTAGCCAAAATTTTTACTTTCCCCAAGTTTTTAAAAAATATTTCTTGAAAACTGGGCACTTACCTTAGCCAGATAAAAGTACTGAAAAGGTTATGGTCAAGTGAATTTTTTTCCTACCAAGAGGATGGAAGTAGCTAGTGAAGAGAGAATGATATTGAAGGAGGAGAAAAATTGCCAAGGGAAGGGTGTTGAGCAGGTGTGTAATAAAAACCTGTAGGATTGAATTTTTTTTTTTTAAAGATTTTATTTATTCATTTGAGAGAGAATGAGATAGAGAGAGCATGAGAGGGGGGAGGGTCAGAGGGAGAAGCAGACTCCCTGCCGAGCAGGGAGCCCGATGCGGGACTCGATCCTGGGACTCCAGGATCATGACCTGAGCCGAAGGCAGTCGCTTAACCAACTGAGCCACCCAGGCGCCCTGAATTATTAATTAAAGAACAATTTTCAGAAGTTAGTTTGCCCTTTAGATTAACTTTCTGTGAAGAGAGTTTCCAGATAGAAATAATAACTAATATGACTTTTGTTGGCAACATGTGCTAGGCACTGTTCTAAGTACTTTACATATATTAACTCTTATTTTAAATATAAGTAACCTTGTGAGGGAGATAATATTATACCTTTTTATAGATGAGGAAACCAGTGCTACAGAGGTTAAGTTACTTGTCTGAGGCCACACAGCCAATGGGGATGAGGTAGGATTTGAGCTCAGACAGTCTGAATTAATAGTCTTTTACACTTTCATAGGATATGCTCTGCAGCCCTTTATTCTAAAAATAGGACAGTAAAACACTTAGTATTAAATTGAGTAGTTCTCTGTATTGATATTCTTTTTAAGTGCTTAAAGAAATTTTTGGTTAAGTCTAACTCCATTAATGGGTTGTTACTGAGGAGATGTTTGGATTTGCATTAAAGAGGGATAGGGCCCACTTAATGGGCATTTGACCTGTGCAGTCACACAGTGTGTGCAAGCATGTGGATACTGTGTTTGTTTTGATGCTCTGCTGTCACCATCTAGAAATTTTTAATAAGTTTTCTTTTTTTTTAAGCTCTACATCCATCGTGGGCCTTGAACTTATGACCCTGAGATCAAGAGTTGCATGCTCCCCTGTTTGAGCCAGCCAGGAACCCCTTAATAAGTTTTGAACAAGGAGACCTGCATTTTTATTTTGGACTGGGTCCCACAACTTATATAGCTAGTCTTAAGAAGGGATAACTAGTTTATGTAGTTTCACAAAGCCCCTTATTTCTCTTATTTTACCTACTGAATTAGGATTCAGCTGACCATTTGACGTGGTATTTTTTATGCTTTTTTTTTTTTTTTAAGATTTTATTTATTTGTCAGACAGAGAGAGAGCACAAGCAGGGGCAGTGGCAGGCAGAGGGAGAAGCAGGCTCCCTGCTGAGCAAGGAGCCCAATGAGGGACTCTATCCCAGGACCCCGAGATCGTGACCTGAGCCGAAGGCAGATGCTTAACCAACTGAGCCACCCAAGGGTCCCTTTTATGTGCTTTTAAATGCAGAGCTCTTTTAATATTCTCATAAGGATAATGAGAAGGAAATACGCTGTTGACTTCTAGAGTATATACTCTATATAGGGTATATATCTAGAATATATAAAGATATGTCCTTTCACCTTTCTAAGGTTGAATCAGACATGGATTGCAGGACATACTTTTTGGAATAAAAAAAATAGTGAGCCCTTTCATGAAAGACAAGCCCTTAATATGTGATTAAGGGTCATAAAAAAGACATTTTAGAGTGAGTGAAGGATATAGAAGGTGTGGTTTATGCTTATTTGGTTTTCTGAAACTCAGAGAACTTGGAAACATCTATAGTTAGATTACCATGTCTCCCAAGATTCCAAAGGACTCTGTTAAAAAGATTTCAAATTGAGAATCAGAATTTTAGAACTCGGAAGTCTTGAGATCATTTAATCCAACACACTTATTTTCCTAATGACCTGAAGAGGCCTAGTGACTCTCTGGTCCTTGCTTTTTCTAACTTATCTTTTTTTTTTTTAAAGATTTTATTTATTTATTTATTGGAGAGCAAGTGAGAGAGAAACAGCATGAGAGAGGAGAGGGTCAGAGGGAGAAGCAGGCTCCCCGCTGAGCTGGGAACCCGATGTGGGACTCGATCCCAGGACCCTGGGATCATGACCTGAGCCGAAGGCAGTCGCTTAACCAACTGAGCCACCCAGGCGCCCCTCTAACTTGTCTTGTAGGTATAATTTCCATAGTAATACTATGTAAAGATGTCATCACCAAAAACCAGTAATGAAGGGCACTAGAATCTTAATACATTTTATAGTTTGTACTTGAAGTTTTATGGGTTCTGTTTCCTCAGGATCACAGTCAATTTTTTTTTTTTTTTGGTCTATTAACATACCCAGGTTCGGTGCTCGGCACAGTGGTATTTAATCAGGGCTTGTTGAGTGACTTGAGTAATTAGGGA